TGGGGTTACCCAGTGCCTGGTGGCAACTGAGGTTTCTCAAAGAGCAAGTCCAATGCACAAATGAGAGCCAACTGATAGAACTGGAGCAGTCATTTTGTTCTGACTGGCTGTTGAGAGCCCGAAACAGCCCACCTTGAGGGACGACCTTGGCTAATCCTCTCTGTCCTGAACAAACACTGCATTTAGGTTGGCTCTGTCAGCTGCTTTGGGTGCCTTCTCTTGGTGCAACTTTGGCATCATGTTAAACAAAACAAGCAAAGAGGAATGTGAACATGCTCTTATTTCCCAGGGCTCTGGACTGGTCTAGGGAATGAGCAGTCTGATTTGGATTTTTAGTCTTATATGGCTTGAGCATGAACAGGTACCTGAACAGGGTATGTTACCAACCATTTCCAGAGGTTGGTTTTTTCCCTGCATTTAGCAGAGGTTTCCTGGTGTAAAGGAGGTCAGGAGACAGGAGCTTGTTCCCAGTTCTTTCTCTCTTCTTCTTGTCTTGTGTTCTTAGACTGTTTTGGTGTCTACCACTCCCAGCACCAAGGAGCTCTGATCTTGTTCAACCTTTCTAAGTGTTCCAGCAATGCAAAGGAGAATTGAGGTGAGGTTCAGATACCCATCTGTAGGGACACAGTAGCCAGGCAGGCTGCTGCCCTCATTTCTAGAGAAAGACTGTCTTACCAGAACATTTCTGGCCTGTTTTACAAACCAAAGAGGTTCATATAAGACTTGTAAAGGCTTGTTTGATCTCTGAGTGGTATTTGGCTTGGCCCATTTCTGGTTTGGAAACCGAGTGGTTGTCTGGGGATCAGAATCTCAGAGAAATCTCTGGGCAGAGTCTCTTGGGAAAGAAGCTCTGTTTGCGTTCTGCAGGTTGAAGAGTGTCAGGAGACACAGGAAAGTGTCTTAGTCCTTTGGGCCAGCTCTGGAGATTCTGCGTGACTGATGGGTCAGAGAGAGCACGTGAAGATCTCGGCCAGAGATCCCATGTTGGCTTTTCTCCTGTCTTGGTGGCTGCTCTTGTGGATCTGGATTCACTCTGCAGCACTTTCTATGGGAATCCAGTGGCAGTGCAAATCCTGAGAGAGGCCAGGGGAGAGCTGAGCTTTTGGGCCAGTGTCAGCAGAGTCTGCGGTCCTGTGAGGCCTCCTTGCTGCAGTTGCCTCCTCTGCTTTGCCTCTGAAGCCCCCTCTGTACAACAGAAGTGGTTGAGAACTTCCTAAAATAAACCTAGCGACCTTCCCTTTTCTTCTCCCCATCATCTTAGGAATGACTAGGCCTTTTATCCCCTTCTCCTAAGGAAAAGTCTAACTGCTGAAAAAGCTCCTGCAGTCAGAATCAAGTTGGTTTCTCCCTGCACCTCCCCTCATTTTAGTGTCCATATTGCTGAGACGGAGCAGCCTTGGCCGTGCCCGAAACACTGACCGATTGTCTGGTTTGGCTGGCTTGGCTCTTTGCTCAACACAATCTCTTTCATCTCCGAGGAAATCGTCTGGACACCTCCTCTGGAGCAGAGCTTGCTTTCTGCTGCTGTTTCATTCAGCAAATAAAAGCTGCTATTTTCCCAGTTTCAACATCACCTGATTTCTCTAATGAATTAGGAATACTGGAGGGGAGGGAGAAGAAGTTTGAAGTTTTTTTCTTGGTGTTTAAAAGGCTATAATCCTAAATTAATAAAGTTTAGAGTTTTTTTTTCTGGGTGTTTGAAGAGCTATAATCCTAAATTAACAAAGTGTGGAGTTTTTTTTCTTGGTGTTTGAAGGGCTATAATTAACAAACAGCCAAGTTCTGCTGCCTGGGGAGAGGATCCCCCTCCTCCTGCACCGAGCCCTGTGCCCCTTAGAAATGCCTGCAGCGCCCGTTGAATCGCTCTTGCCAGGCCCCAGGGGCGCCCGCCGAGGCCCTCCTGCACCAAGGTGATGATCTGTGGCTTTTCTGCTCTCTCTCTAGCAACCCCAGGGCCTTTGGCTGAAGCAGGAGCTTTCCTTTCTCTAGCAGCGGAGCGGAAGCGTTACCAGAACAAATGCTCTCGCAGAGTTTCTCCAAACAGAGGAGAGTCACCTGGAGGGACTCCTGCTCCAGGAGCCAGTGCCTTGCTCCTTCGCTGCTCGCTGCGGTGGCAGGAGGCAGGCACAGGATTCTGGCTTCCCTTCCACAGGCTGAGGTTTAGGAAAAACACAGCGCGAGACTCGCTCGGCTCCAGAGCCTGGCTGGCTGGCGAGCAGCGTTTGAGAGGGAACTAATATTCCTGAGAAATTAAGGCGTAAACAAATAGCCCTCCCAAAGCACCGCGCAACATTTATAATGTTGCAAACGATGCACTTCGACTTTCCTCTGTTATTGTGTTAACTGAGCATCTGACAAAATAAAAGGCACCAGGGAGAAATCCGGCCAGGCTTCCTCCTCTAGAGAATGAGTCAAGTTCCTTGCATGCGGTTCCAGCACAGCGAAATTGAGAAGTCTGGCCAGCAAGTGGGTTCAACAGGAAAGCTGAGGACAAGCTTTTGTGCGCCGGCTAATGGGTCCTCCTCCCCTGCCCTGCCGGATGGGAGGAAACCCAAGCCCTTTTTGTCTTGCAGTTCATGACGAAGAACCCCAACATGCGGCTGGGCAGCGTGGCGCTGGGCGGCGAGGGCGCGATCCTGCGGCACCCCTACTTCAAAGAGCTCGACTGGGACCTGCTCAACCAGCGGCAGATGGAGCCTCCGTTCAGGCCCCGCATCGTACGTGGCAAGGAGGGGGGCCCCGCTGCTTCTGCTGGGTTCCCTCAGCACGGTTATTCCCAGGAGGCGGGAAGGGACGTGGAGGAAGGGCAGCCTTGGCTCTAAAGCTGTGGCCTGGCACCCAGGCGGTGAAGTCTGTGGTCCTGGCGAGGCTGCGGGCTGCCCGTGTGATGTGGTGCAGGTGGCTCTCTCCCTCCGTGCTGGGTTTTCAAAGGCAGCTCCGTATCCAATGGTGCAGGTTTGCAAAAGGAGCTGCAGGCAATGAGGCACCTGACTACCCTTTGCCTTGAATATTAAGCATGGTAAGCAATATTTATTCTGCTCACTCCACCCATCTAGTCAGCAACTGGCTCTTTTTGGTTCGTCTGTATGTGCACAGCTCCCAGGACTATGTTTCCTGCTCAGGCCACTGCAGCCAAGTGGTCCAAAAAGCAGCCAGTGCTGCAGAGGACGCAGCACTGCCCCGTTCCCAGGGGCACTGTGCATCGGAGGATGCTCTGTGCTCTGACCGCATCCTTTTCCCCATGGAGAGCCTTTCCTAGCTCATCTCTGTGGTCTTCCTGTCTCTGACATTCTCGGTGGGAAAGGCCCGGGTGGCTTTGCCTCATACCGTGGCTGCTCTGCAAGCTCTCAGTGGTGGTGGGCGACCCAGTCCTGCCTCCTGGAGCTCAGTGGGTGCAGGATTAGCTCAGTGCAGGATTAGGCACCCAGCGCAGCTCCCACAGCTCACACTCAGGCTCTTGAGTTTTTTCCTTGATTCGAATCAAAGGGACCTCCCTCATTTCCCCATGAACTTGGCAGGAGCTGGGAGCGTTAGACTTTGGTGTCAGTGAAGCATCTCCTCCTGCATGCTGGAAAAACACACGCTTGGTCCCAATGTGCCGCACACCCGGGTTGTGTGTGTGCACCGTAAACAGTCCCACTCATACCACACAGTGAGGAATCCAGCACCCGCAGGCAAAGTTTGTCTTCCCGGGAATTCGCTGCTGGGCAAGTTTAATGGGAGCGTGTCCCCAAGGAAGCCGGCTGAGATGCTCTGCAGCAAGGCAGGACGGTGTGGAGACGCTCACCGGGGACACTGCTGGTAACGACCTCGAATGGTGGGGTCTGGGCTGGCGTTTGAGCAGCAGAACTGACTCATGGGCCCGGGGCTGCCACGTCCAGGCAGATCACCCTTCAGAGGTTGGAGAGGAATTTGTCTGCAGAAAGCCTGTGGAGGCTTTAAAAGGCTTTATCCTGTGAGAGGCTCAATGGGGGCGTACAGATTCTCCCAGGCCAGCCCGAGGGAAAGCTGGCAGTAAGTTCAACCCAGGTTTTGAAGGTAACTCTTCATTGCAATAAAGATCCAGGATAAAGTTGCAGAGTGAGTACCAAGCGGCTGATGCAGGCTTTTGATATCTCTTTCCTTTGTCTTTTCTGCTTGACAGAAATCCAAAGATGACGTGAGCAACTTTGATCCAGATTTTATAAAAGAGGAGCCCATTCTGACTCCCATTGAAGAAGGAATCCTTCCGATGATAAACCAGGATGAATTTAGAAACTTTTCATTCACAGGCCCCGAATTGCCGCAATAGCCATGACTCTGAGGACGTGCTGCTGGCAGGACTGGGGGGAAATGAAATGAAAACCAGGTTTACCAGGAATTTCATTCTCAAGGAGTAACAGTGCACTGACTTTACATTATGCAGGAGCACCACTGTCAACGTTAACCTTAATGTGAAATTGAAACCTTCCTGTGTTTGTAGGATTTGCACAGCTCTTGGATCAAATATTGACAGGGCTGGAACAAACATGATTTTGTAAATAGCTGATGCAGACAGAGAGATGAATGTTGAGCTAGTTGGCTCAGCCTGAATGTCATTGCTTGCAGCTTGCAGTGGATTCGAGGAGTCAGCGTGAGCATGAAACAAGTGTCTTGCAGCTCTGAGCCAAACAGATTTGTTGTAATACTGATCGTTTGCAAGACTGTTTTGTGGAATCCCAGCACTGCCCAGCGTTTTGGAGCCATGATCCAGCATCCCATGGCCTCACTGAACCAGATGTTCCTTGCGACTTTACCTGTTCCTCAAGTATTTATTTCTTTCCAGAGGTCGAATGGCTCTTTGTCACTGGTTTGGGTTTCCATGTGAACTATTTCATTGTGCTGACTAGCAGAAGGAAAAAAAAAACCAACAAATGCCATGTGTCCTGCACAGATTTTTCCAGATCGAAGGGAAGTCACATACCTGTTGTGTTTTGCTGTTCGTGCGATATGAAACGTTTTAGTGTTTGCATTCTGTGAAATGCCTTTTTACATCATGCATCTTCAATGCTCCTTTCTTTGCCTCCCAGCTGTTTTCAACTATAATATAACTTGTAAAACCTTATTGTTTATTTAGGCCCATTCTATTTAATTATGCTATACAAAGCCCCTTTTGTGGGTTTAGTGCCTCATTAAAATTTTGATCCAAAGTAGTATTGCTTAAATTATTTGTAGCATTGTTGTGATAGGAACCACAGAGCTGGCAAGCAGCTTGAAAACAGAATTGCCAACCAATAACAACACACGAGGACAACTTTCTCCCATGAGAAGAATAAACCTTATCTAAGAAACCGAGTCACTTAGTTTGGTTTGGCTTTAAGAGCTTATTACTCACATGGCACTTCTTATCAGTTGTAGCCTCAAGCATCTGTCCCAGGCAGCCTGAGACAGTTTTTAATGCAGTTTATAGAAACCAGACACTAAGTCATGTGCTTTCCTAGGCCTTCAGGAAATAAAAGGCTTTCTCTGGAGCTCGTGCCATGCCCTTGCGTGCGTGACCCTGTGTGTCAGGGTTAGAACACCTTTCTTGGGCAGGTATCAGTTTCCAAGGGAAGGAGGAGGGTTTCAGACCTCTTGCACAGCCGATCGTGTTTTTGTAGCTCTAGTCACTGGCTTTAGCTTGACAGAAGGGTGAGATGCAGCCAAGTGAGGGGTCCTTCCTGCATCCCCTGTTTCCTGTAAGCAGTTTCTCCAGTCTCCTCCCTTCCTTGGATTTCCCCTGGCTGCCTCCCTTCCAGCAAGCCTCTCCCCGCTTCGCTGCTCTGCAGGTCATCCCACCTCCTCCAGAGTGAGACAAGAGAGGAGGAAGGGCAGGATGCATCAGTGGGGGCCAGAAGGGACATCCAGAAAAGTGACCTCCGAAGCAGGAGCGCAGACAAGCTTGAACTGCTTCCTCGGGTCACTGTGGCACTCTGTCCCCGCGGATGCCACGTGTGATGTCCCCCGCTTGCTGCAGCCACGACCCAGGGCAGCTCCTCATGCGGTCACTGCGCGCTATGGACCACAGCAGTGCTCTCCTGAGGAGGGCCAAGCGTGACAAGCCTGGCCTCTGAGAGCCGGAGCAGTGACATCTCTGTAGGCAACGGGCTATCGCTTCTGCTGACAGCTTCTGGCCTCTCCCACTGCAGAGATCGGTAAGTGATGCCCCTTTTTGCCAACTTGTTGGTATCATCCGAGGGTTTCACTAGTTGTGTTGTTCCTCAGGACTCTGGAGACCTTTGGGATGGTTTGTGCTGGAGAAGCTAGTGCCACTGTGCTGCCTTTAGCATTAAAACACGTGATCCCATCTCAGTGGCCCCAGGATCTCAACACCATTGCTTACACCACTGACAGCGTGAAGAATGTGGCATGTTTGCCCTTGACTGATGTAGCAGGTCATTCCTCTACTAATCCATACCTGAATGAGAATATCCTGCTTATATCCAATATCCAATCCATATCCTGCTTAGGGAATGGAAGCAGGCGCTTCTTTAGGTGCTCCATTTGGATTTTTACGAATTGTGAATCAGAAAACTTGCAGATCACTGGAAGATACAAAGTGATGCCTAAGCCCATGCTAGAGAGCAGAAAGAACTCCTGCCCTGGTCAGCCAAAGTCTGCTTTGTCTCCCTGAGTTGTCAGGGATGAAATATCAAAGGGAGATTCCTCATTTTTCATTGATTCCAAGTGGTGCCAAGGTCACTCTCTCTGGCCATTGCCATCATTGGAAGGTAGGTGTCTGCAGCTCTGCGCTTGGACTAGAAGCCTAATATTCTGCTAGGAAATAATCTCCTTGATTGTTGCAACTTCACCTGGATCTTGCTTCATAATTTATAGTAGCTCTTCCCCTCCGCCGCCTGCCTGGAACTCACACGTCTGCGTAATGATTTCAGCAGCTCGAGTCAGCAGATCTTGAGTCAGCCACGTTTGGCCACGTTCCCTGAACTTGCCCATACTTTTTGTAAGGAACTGCCATTTCGACTATGTTGGCAGCATGGATGAAGATCAGCTCCTTAGAAAGCATCGAGCTTTGTCGTTTTGATAAAACTGAATTAGTGTTTGCACTGCTATTGAGTATGTAAAGAAATGCTGATTTTTAAAGCAAAGCAAGGATCCAAAAAAAAAAAAAAAGCTTTTCCTTGAGCTAGTCCGCCAGCTCTTTTGGCGTCATCACTTGCCTGGGATGGATGTAAGATGGTTTTGTCTATTAATTTGGACCTGGTATTTAGAATATATTAAGCTGGCAGCCACTGGTTTGTAAGGTTTACAGCATAAAATGCTTGTATTTGCTCCAGTGTCAAAACTAGCAATAGAGCAAATTGTAATTAGTTCCCTTTGCACTGCTTTTGGTGCTTGCATGAAAAGGGAAGGTTCCTTTGATGTCTTGAAAGTTGTGTTCTGTACAATCCTTTCATTTTCAAAGAGGTTCATGAAATTTAGCTATAAAATTCAATGGCCTACGTCTCATTCAAGACCTTTGAAAGTTGAGGGCAAGAAGCAGATGGTCTAGAATGAATAGATTAAAATCATCCCGCATCCAGGCAGGCTGCGCTGCCAAAGACACCATTTTTAATGCTGCTGCTTGATAGGCAAGGAAAAAAAAACATCTGACAAGACTCCAAGTGCCTAAGGGTTATTGAGGTAAAAAAATGCAATTCTAACTGCTGGATAAAGATGATTTGAATGGATTCTCAGCAACTGGCACAGGTTCCATGCTCCTTGCGAAGTCTTAGATGCTTTGCAAGAGCATTTGCCCTTTAATCTGCGTGCTCCTCCCGCAGCAGTTACTGTTTCTCCACTTGGATGTGAGAGAAGCTCCTGTGGCTGGGGATGAGCCAGAAGAAATGAAGGGGAAAATGTGCCTGGGATCATCTGCTCCGTGCCCTAGCCAGGAAGGCAGGAGCCGTCCCCACTGCTGTTCAGCTGCTCGAGCCATGACCAAGGTTTCTGCTCCTCCCAGGGAGACTGTTTCACACTTGTACAGCTCTTGTTACTAAGCAAATTTCCTGATATTTGGGAATTGCATGAATAAGATAAAAATCTGTCTTATCATGCCGTTAGGATTCTCATTGGAAGCTGCAAGTCAGGGGTTGTATTACTAAATATACCCAGGGCTGCCAAACCCCAGCATTCAAAAATGATGAGTCAAGTCTTCCAAAAACCCCAGCTCAGTCAGAAAAGAAGTTTTACAAAATAATAAATGTCAGAGATTTTCTTTTTTTTTTTAACATCTGGATTCTGAATTTTCTAGGTTCTGACTTGCACTTCTCCACGTCAGTAGGAGTTCAAATGTTGTGTAATTACATTTTTTTTAGATGAAAGCTGAGATCCATGAATTGATGTGAAGCCAGGCCTTGGAGAAAAATGGCAAATACCAAGGCGAGTGATAGCATAGCTTTTACGTATCTTTTTCTGTCTCTTCCTATGCTTTATTTGTAGCCACTGCAGTGTGCTCCCTTGCTTTCCAAAATGTAGATGGGTTTCCTGTCAAAAGCCCATATGCCAGGGCAAGGAGCATATCCGAGATTCAGAGGTCGAGAAAGAGAAGAGGAAGGATGGGAAGGAATTGCACACTGCAGACTTGCTGGACTTAGGGCTTGCTCAGCAGCATTTCCAAACTTGTGCATCAGTCCTTGCACAAGTGTGTCACCTTTTGCCTTCTGTGGCCTATGCTCCCATTCTCTTCTTGCTCCACTGCCTGTCCTGCCTTCCCACTGCATCCACGATGCACAACGTGGCCTTGCGTGTGGCCACTGCTGGCTGGAAACATCCTGCTGATGGAGTTGAGCCTCCAAGAGGAGGAGGATGCCAAAAAACATGGAAAACAAGAGGCAATGTTGGTGTTTGGCTGCCTGGGCATCTTCTGGCCATGGAAAGGACTCTAGGATAGCTAGTGTCTAGGTTCAGTGATGTCCATCTGTGACCAGAAGCTGTGGGAGCAAGGCAAACTTTTGGTCTTCTCCTGTCTTGTATTAAACACTAGGAAGAGGGGGGACAGGAGAAAGTCCTCTGAGAAATGGGGTAGCAACACTAGCTTGTGACCCAGAGCAAGGGTCACAAGGGTATTTTTCAGAAGTGCCTAAGGCCGCTTGTAGGCAACTAGTGGAGACATGTAAGAAAGTTTCCCTTGAGGAACTTCCATCTTCACTCTTCCCCTTGAGGAAATTCATCTTCCATCAGACGGGAGCTGCCATTGCTGCAGGGAGGGAGTCTGGGAACACAGGTTGTAGAGATGGTGGCAGCTCAAAGCTCTTGTGGCAAAAGACTACTGGGAAAAAATGCCAAGGAACAAAACTGAACCCTTTCATCCAAAGAAGAAGAGAGGGTGCAAGCCTGGGTCAGACAGAGACGTCCCTGTGTGGGCTCCCACAGGTCTCACGTTAGAGGGTGAAGGTTTTAGGCCTGAAATAGTTCTAACTTGCATGTGGTGTCAGGTCAGCTCTCCCACTCCAATTAAATTATTAAAGTGGAGATGAGAGATTTTTGCAGCGAGTTGAGGTTTGCTCAGAAACGGTGACTCAGCCTCTCCAGCGCTCCCTTCCCCCGCTCCTTAAAAAAGAGCGTTTTATTCTTCATCTGTTTTTTATTTTTCGAATGTCTCGCACGGACTGGGGTCACAGTCGCAGTTTGTCTTCACCAGTGTGAAGCAGAAATGTGTTTCTTCTTAAGCACAACGTGCTTCCCCTTTGCATTGCTCGGTTCTAGAAACAGACCTTCAAAACCACTGCAACGGTAGCAACACCACCCCGCTAGCGACCACGTAGGCCAAGTGGAAGAAAAATGCAAGGGCTGCCAATAAAGCCATTCCTGGACACCAGCCAAGCTGGGCTCTGGTTGAACTGGAATTGGGAGACAATTTTATATATCTTAATTTATTTCGAGACTTCAGCACAGAACACCTGCAGACCTTCTAGTTATCACCCGTCCCCTAGTCATAGCTGATTGACTGCCCCAAGACACCTTTTGCTCAAAACTCCTGCTTTCTTTCCCCAAATGCAGGGAAGGAGGGAAGAGGGTCTTAAGAAGCTTTATGAGAGTTTGGTGCTAACTACAGACTTCTTCCGAGCTGAGGCTTAATATTCCCAGGTCTTGTCCACGCCAGGAGCTGGGTCACCGGGTTTGCGGACGCCACCAAGACGGTGCTGGGACTGACATCTCCTTGGAGTGA